ATCATCAAATGCAGCTGGAACAGTTGGAATCACTTCGATTGCTCCATCAATGAAAAAATCATCAAAGAAACAGGTTGGAAGAAAGAAATAAAAAATAAAACCTGGTTATTGCATTAAAGCTGTAGGTTTTCGATCTTGCGACTTATTATATATTGATAACCGTATGGCCTTTGCTAAATAGCTGACGCTCTGGTATCGACGGGGCTTGCGGAGTTCGGGTATCGCTATGTTAACATTGGTAACTTACTTGATTTAGAAAGATGAATTGATTTTGAAAGGTTAAAATGTGATATTGAGCATGTTAATTTGTTTTATTGATTGGTGGAGGTTAATTTGATGGAAATTTTTTGACTTTCTGGATGTTTTTCAGATGATTGCTGGGCTGAGTATAATCGCAGTGCGAAGGTTTGAGATTTTTTTGTGTCTTGGCTTTCTCCCCCTTAATAAACGATGTAACTAACAGAGTTTCTAAATTCATCTCAATAAAGTCCCAAGTATCCTACGCGTAATCACTGTTAACATGGGTTGAGATCTGTGAAGGATGTCGAATAGTTAATCATCCATCTCTGATTCCAGGGTTATCTGGTTCCTCGAAAGTCGACTTTCCCATCAGGGATTAAAGCTCTTGCAGACTATGTCCACAAAAAGGGCCTTAAAATTGGAATTTATTCTGATGCTGGGTATGTGCTAAGCTCCAGATCATCCTCACCTTTACTTTCTTAATATCATTTAGTATCAGGTATTAAGATGATACTATGAAAATATAGGTTTACACCTATGGTATTTCCGCTGTTTTAAATGCTCCATCTACAGAAAGTTGAGTATTTCGAGTAATTTACAGGTATCAAACATGCAGCAAAAAAATGCCAGGCTCACTTGGTTACGAGGAGAAAGATGCTAAAACCTTCGCGTCATGGGTAAACAATCGAATTTTTTTGACCATGATAGTTTTTGACTCTAAATATATACTCTTCGAACTAGGTATGAGGAAAAGTGTAACGAGTTCTTCGGTTGCAGGGCATTGATTATTTAAAGTATGACAATTGTAACAATGGAAATGTGAAACCAACAATTAGGTAATCTTTCTATTCTCTCTGCAACATGCCTCCTTATAATATATTGTCCTTTAGTTTCTGATGTAGTTGGGAGCTAGCTCACTAAGAAAGATTTTATGCTTCCTATCTTAAAATATAGGTACCCGATAATGACTAGAGCATTAATGAATACTGGTCGTCCTATCTTTTTCTCTCTATGTGAATGGTATAGTGACTTCTCTGACATATATTTTATCAAAACCAGACCTTTCTTTTGAGTAATACGTTATCTTATTAGACTAGTCAGTTCCATATCGATCTAGTTTTCCTTATTGTTGTTTAGGGGGGATATGCACCCAGCGCTGTGGGGATCAAATGTCGGTAATAGCTGGAGAACAACTAATGATATTAATGATTCATGGGAGAGGTATTACTCACAGTACTTATGAAAACTTCAGAAAAAAATTAGATTCTTTCTACAGAAATTTAATCTACCATTATGATTTGATTTTGATATTTCTACAGCATGGTGTCGAGAGCAGACCAAAATGAAGTGTATGCTGAGTATGCAAGGCCTGGTGGTTGGAATGGTTAGTTTTCATTATTAAGTTAGCAGTTTGGCCTAACGTGTTTCTTTTAGAAGCTAAATTTGTATAAATTTATGCAACTTCTTTTAATATATTTGTCTATTCTAGAAGTTAACTTTGCTTAGCCATGTCATTTTGT